AAAAAAAAAAAAAAAAAGACTAGAGGGCAGCCAGGGGCTGCCTCACCTTGCAGGGACCATAAGGCAGGCTGGGCCACCAGGCCAAGGTCCACCACCTAAAGCCACCACTTTCTGTCCTTTGCCAGGCTAGGACTCCTGTCACCTGGGCCCTCATCCTCTTTCCCTGTCCTCCAACCCGGGGGCCTTTTAGGGGTCTTGACAGACCAGCTCTTCGATTCAAGGCAAGCCCTAAGAGTTGCCTTTTCCTAATTCGCCCACAGGTGATGCAGGGGTCACTTCCCACCACCCCCGCCCCACCTTGGCCGAATCCTTCTCGGTCCAGCACCTCCAAACATCTCGACCTTTCGAGTCCCCCCACACACTCCCTCTCAGCCTCCACTTCTCTGTGCCCCCACTGCTTCCTCACTACGCAGCCCACCCCAGGGCCCACCTTAACAGCTCAGGCCTGGATTCCCCGCAGGACAGGCCCATTGACATTCCTCCCCTATCCCTTTCTATAGCCTTGACCTCTGGACCCCCATCCTCACCGCGCTCGCAATCCTACGCCCTTCCCTGACCGCCGCCCGCGCCACAAGGCCCGGGTCCCTCCTCACAGCTCCGCCCATCGCAGGCACCGTCTCGCCCTGACGGTCTCCGCCCGCGCGCGCCCATCGCCCGCATTGTCTTCCCAAGGCTCTCCCAGAATCTGCAGCCAGCCAGCGTCTACTGCGCTTACTGACGCTGCGGGCCAGGCAGCGGCAGCGACTGAGAAATACCGGTCCCGCCTCTTCACCGTTTAGCTCCTTGACATGGCGATCTGCGGTTGCGCGGTCCCAGAGTGGCGTCAACTGCTTTTGCGCAGAAGGCCAACCAGAAGCAGGCTCCATAGCTCAGGGGTTAGAGCACTGGTCTTGTAAACCAGGGGTCGCGAGTTCAAATCTCGCTGGGGCCTACTGTCGTTTTCCCCACGTTCAGATTTTTTCACCCCTTCCTGAAAGGTGGGAAACCGGAATATACGCGAGCCAAGCTGGATTTCGGCCTTACCAGGCAGCCAGACCCTCGCTGAGTTGCCTCCTCTCAGGCGCCTGCCGCCCTAGGCTCCTTACCCACCGTCCGCTTGTCTCTTAAAGAGCCACTCCCTCCGTGGCCTTCCCTTTCGACCCCTGGGTTCCTGGACCCTGCGCGCCCGCCGCCCCGAGGAGCTCGCCGGCTTCGTCTGCCCGCGCTCTCGGCGAGCTCATGGCCGGTCTGTAAGTTCCCTTTCATCGCCCTACTCGGACCCTGCGCGCCCTGCTTCTCGTCCTGTTGCTCTCTCCGGAATGGCGTCCACCGCGCTGCGCGCCCATTGCCGCCCCCCACCGCGTGCATGTGCCCCCCCC